CCAAGTTTAAGAGGTGAAGAGAGATTTTTTTCAAGGGTAAAAAACTCGTAGCTTGAATCGATCATGTTTTACTATCTAGCCAATTGCAGTTTTCATGAGCTATGTTAGTTTGGATAATTCAGTAAATTTTTCTCTCCTCTCCCTCTTAGCTTACAGGAGGCGCGCCCAAGTTTAAGAGGTGAAGAGAGATTTTTTTCAAGAGTAAAAAGCTCGTAGTTTGAATCGATCATGTTTTACTATCTAGCCAATTGCAGTTTTCATGCGCTATGTTAGTTTGGATAATTCAGTGGATTATTCTCTCCTCTCCCTCTTGGCTTACAGGCGGCGCGCCCAAGTTTAAGAGGTGAAGAGATATTTTTTTCAAGAGTAAAAAACTCGTAGCCTGAATCGATCATGTTTTACTATCTAGCCAATTGCAGTTTTCATGAGCTATGTTAGTTTGGATAATTCAGTAAATTTTTCTCTCCTCTCCCTCTTGGCTTCCAGGCGGCACGCCCAAGTTTAAGAGGTGAAGAGAGAAATATTTAAATTGAAACACTCGTAGCTTGAGTTGATCATGTTTTACTAGCTAGCCTATTGCGGTTTTTATACGCTGTGTTAGTTCGGATAATTCAGTAGGTTATTCTCTCCTCTCCCTCTTAGCTTACAGGCGGCGCGCCCAAGTTTAAGAGGTGACGAGAGATTTTTTTCAACGGTAAAAAACTCGTATCCTGAATAGACCATGTTTTACTAGCTAGCCAATTGCAGTTTTCATACGCTGTGTTAGTTTGGTTACTCTTTCCTCTCCCCCTTGGCTTCCAGGCGGCGCGCCCAAGTTTAAGAGGTGAAGAGAGATTTTTTTAGATTGAAACATTCGTAGTTTGAGTCGATCATGTTTTACTAGCTAGCCAATTACACTTTTTATACGCTGTGTTAGTTTGGTAAATCAGTAGATTATTCTCTCCTCTCCCTTTTGGCTTACAGGCGGCGCGCCCAAGTTTAAGAGATGAAGGGAGATTTTCTTAAAGTGAATAGTACATAGCTAAAATCGATCGTGTTTTAGCTAGTAAATGCAGCTTTTTTTACATTGCTTTAGTTTGTATAAATCGGTAGATTTTTCTCTCCTCTTCCTAATGGCTTACAGGCAGCGCGCCCATTCTTAAGAAGCTGTGATAAAGTATAAAGTAAGTCACAGCTTGAATCGATCGTGTTTTAGCTAGTCGTTACAGAGTTGTTGTTTTTGTTCATATTTTGTTTTTGTTAGTGTATATAATTCAGTAGATTTTTATTTTCTCTCCCTCTTAA